CTCAGAGTGGCGAGATCAGATCAGGTGCAATTCCCACACTGTGTCTCTGGTGTTGTCCCCCGCAGGGCCATGGGTCAGTGAGGGGCATCATGTCTCATAGTGGGGCTGGCCATGGTCCTCTCTGTGGACTGGCTGCTCTAATTAGGGTCTTCGTCCTCAAGGCCTGGTGGGCCAGGATGCCACACACTGAATCTTATCCCCATAGAAATAACCTTGGAGTGCAGCTGCCTGATTAAACTTGATCTCTAACTGCAGCTGGTATTCCGTGACCTGGCAACAGAGTGAAAGTCTACTTTGAGAATAGTCTTCAACCTTCGCTCTCATACACCTAAGTTCTCTCTATTTACTCTCAATGCGGTCACACTCACTCCCTTTCAAAGGGAATGAAATGAAATAAAACACCTTAAAGGAAAATGATCTTTTAAGTATGCTTATATAAGCACAGACATTTTTAAGAGGCATCACATTTAAAAAAATGGGTATGACTATTAAAACTACTATTAATGCTCTTAAGAAATTGAGGCTCTTAGGAAATCTCAGATGTGTTATGTCATGGGGGGCGGAAATCACCCTCTTGAATATGTGTTATATGTTTTTCTGTTTTTTGATACATGAAACCCAAGATGAATGAACTTATCGGGACAGCAGGTAGAATAAACTTTTGGAGTGGTGGTGGAGGTATAAGGGAGCTGATGTTAAGGAGTCCAGGAAGGAAAAGAATGGCTGGAAACTCATTGTGGCATCAATTGTACAATACTCCTTGATGTGAACGAACTATGGAATGATGTGATATATGTATTAACTCATAATTAAAAAAATAACAGTGGAAGAAAAACACAGTGAACGAAAAAAGAAATTTGAAACACATGATAGTTTATTTTCTTCATTTGATGCTAATGCCAAACCAATAGTTTTCATGCTAATCGCATGAAGATTGTGAAGCGAAGCCTGATGCATTCCTTTGGAGCGGAAGCCTGTATCACGGAGGCCCCTCCAGCTCTGGCTGGGGCTCCTTTCTTCACTTCCTTTTGATTTTGTGGCCAACCACTGCTTCAAACTGAATATCCTGGATTTTATTTATAGCTGCCAGAGCGCGTTCAGGAAGAAATCTGTTGGGGGGGGGGGGGGGGGGGGGGGAGGAGGAGAGAGAGAGAGAGAGATAGATGAGGTTTTCTGTTTAAAACCAATGACACCAGAACCCTCTTTCATTGTCAGTTAAATACCCTGACGGTTACTTGACACACATTTACTTTTCCTCTGCTCTCCCTGCCCAAGCCCCCTGACATCTATCTCTCTTTTCCTCGATTTTGAAGTGCCTTTTAATATTCAGAGTTCAAATCGTATATAAATGAAAAGAAATCACCAATATACACCACTTTTGTTATCTTATATTATCTTATTTTGTTATCTTATCTCATATTAGTAAAAATCTTATACATGATCACATAGAAGTCAGGATCTGAGATGGAAGGTCTGGGGTCATTACAGAAACTGCCCACTGTTCCTCCTGTAGAGAGACCCTGCCAGACTCCAGGTCACCCATCTCAGCTCTCCTTCAGGAGTTACCAGTGACGGAGTTTGTGCTCTACAGTAAAGTAACCTAACGTAAAAGCACCTGCTCTCTTTGAGGAGCTTATGTTGAGTGTACTGAGAGTCTTAGGAAAATATCTTGAAACAATTAGAGAAACATATAAGTCAACTGTAACTGAAGGTTATACAATGTGAGGAGGATATTAATGTGGGCAGGGAGCGTGAAGGGGAGCTTCAAATGGACAAATAGTTGTTCAATGATGGGTAATATGCAATTAGGCAGATGACAGGAGGGAAGTATGAGCAAACAAAGACAGACAGAAATAACATGTTCTGCAAAGACAGTCATAGAAAATCACTCTGTACCGTCAACTAATGCAAGATTTACTCAGCTGTCTTTGGGAAGTGGAGAATGCAGATGAGCTCAGGCAAGATCTGGCTGGGAGCGAGAGAGGAAGAGAACTTGCCAGCCTTTTAAAACAAAATGTGAAAAGAACCCTTTCTCTGATACTAACTCAGTCTATTACACGACAGAGGAAAATTAAACTGTTATCAAATTATTCTCTTCAAAGCTCATGAATAGTTTATGTTAAGAGGTGTAAAGGAGGACCTAATGCTGGGGGTTTAAGTGGAGAGAAAATGTTTTGAGAATGATGAGGGCAATGAATGTACAAATGCGCTTTACACAATTGATGTGTGTATGGATTGTGATAAGAGTTGTATGAGCCCCTAATAAAATGATTTTTAAAAAAAGAGCTGTAAAGATTTAAGAAGCTAATACAGTTATTTGTTCAATAATGAAATAGACATTTATTATAAACCATCTTTCACAAGAAAGCTGAGAAATTATCCTTTTCGTGGTTAAATAATCCCAAATTCTCATGTAAATTCTTCCTGCCATGCCTCCAGTATCCAATTTACAGAACATGTTATCTATTTACTAGCAGACGCTTTACTTCGATGACAGTCTGCAGGACATAGGCACTATTGCCATCCCTATTTTATAGAGAGCCCTGGTGGACTGGTGGGTAAGCATTGGACTGCTAGCAACAAGGTCAGTGGCCAACTTGCTTCACCAAAGAAAGATGAGGCTACATGATGCTATAGAGATATGCAGCCTCGGAAACCTTTAGAAAGTCACTGTAAGTCCTAATCAACTAGATGGTAGTAGATTTTTTAGTTTTTTTACATATTGGAAATTTAAGGCCATAGAGGATAAATAATTTGCATATAGCCACAGATCTAGCAAGCAGCAGAGTTGCTGGTAAAACCAGGTAGAGTCCATCTATATTCATTGTATTGTCTCTGTAAGCTATTCCCCTTTCAGCTAGAACAGCCTTGAGGAAAGATGGGGAAAAGAAGATGTGTGTGGAATGTCTAGAAAATAATGATGGCAACATATGTACAAATGTACTTGATACAATTGATGTTTGGGTCGTTGTAAGAGCCCCAATAAAATGATCTTTTAATAATAAAAAGAAGAAGTATATAATAGAGCTCATTATTAAAGTACAAAAAGGGGGAAGGAAAACATGAGAATGTCAACTACAGTCTACAAAAAAATGAAAATATTTTTAAAATACTAAGATGAAATCAAAAGATCAAAGTGGATGCCAGAAGAGACTCTGAAACTTGTTCATGAACATAGAGTAGCTAAAGCAAATGGAAGAAATGAAGAAGTAAAAGAGTGAACAGAAAATTTCAAAAAGCAGCTCAAGGAGACAAAGTAAATTATTCTAATAAAGTGTGGAAAACCTGGAGTTAGAAAGTTAAAAGGAAGAACAGGCTTAGCTTACCTCACGTTGAAAGAACAGAAGAAAAAATTCAAGGCTCAAGTTGTAATGCTAAAGACATCTGTGAGCAAACTAGTTCACGATGCAGAGAGTTTCAAAGAAGATAGAAGGAATACACAGAGTCACTATTACACAATAGAATCGGTCAACATTCAAACATTTCAAGAGGTAGCATATGATGAAGAGCCAATGGTATTGAAGAAAGACACCCAAGCTCTATAGAAAGCATTAGCTAAAAACAAGGTTCCAGAAATTGATGGAATAAAATTGGAATGTTTCAGCAAGCTGGTGCAGCAATGGAAGCACTCACTGTGTATGCCAAGAAATTTGGAAAACAGCCACCTAGTCAGTAGACTGGAAGAGACTCATATTTGTACCCAGTTTAAGAAGGGCAATACAACAGAATACGGAAGTAATTGAACAATATCATTAAGACTACATAAAGATAATTCAACAACATTTGCAGTAGTACATCATAGGGAACTTCCAGAAATTCAAGCTGGATTCAGAAGAGGAAGTAGCATGAGGGATATCAATGCTGATGTCAAATAGATCTTAACTGAAAGCAGAGAATACTTCAATTGAAAACTTCAATCAAAAAGAAAGCAGAAACTTAAAAAAAAAATCAAACCACTTTTAAATGGAACAAAAGAGAGATCAAATGATGAAGTGTTAACTAACCATATCTTCCATAATTGACTTTACAATGCTCTCTGTGTGACAGTAAGGCTATTCACGCCCTTGGACTATGGTCAGCAGGTATTCCCTGGAGGCTTAATCCATGTGGGGACTCTGCAAAAGGATTTTGGACTTCCACTGTCATCCATATCCTTCTGTGAACAGCTGCTCACAATTTAAGCTCTGATACCATTCCCTCTTTCGGATTTGGATTTTATTATTCACAACCTTTGAATCACAGAGGCTGGTGTACTTCCTCCATGTGGACTTAAATGACACCTTACTTACATGGCTGCTTGTTTGAAGACAAGCCTCTAAGATCCCAGATGCTGTTCTTTCTGATAGCCAGACACCATCTGATTTCTTCACCACACTTTGCTATAGTACCCGTAACTTCAGTGATCTCTTCATGTGGGAAGGTATTGAGTAGGGCCATGTCATAAGAACGAATTGCTTTTTAAATGATTTTTTTTTATTTTTAGAACTACTTGCTTTAGGGATAGAATTAAGTGTGAACCCAAAATTCATTTGTATATCTATGGTTCATTTTAGAGACACCATTATCATTTTATGATAGAGAACATTATAAATCCCCCCACAACGTGTTATAAGATAATTCTATTACTAGTGTCATTGATTTAGCTAAAGATATAGAATTCAAAACACTATTGGGAAAAGGAAATTATAACATGTATATGTTGCCATTTTAGACTACAATACACATATTATTGATTTATACAGATTAAACTCTTAATTGACTAGACACTATTTACACAAGCAATAGGGGCTGCTGAAAAGGAAACCTTGGAATAACACACATTCACAATGGCAGAACTCTGCCTCTCAGACCAACACATGCACATTCTTGATTTTCTTGACTGCAGTTTCCATTAGGGTTGATGGTGGAAGATAAAAGGTACAACTCAAGGAAGCGTGTGACTTGAGTCAGGATAATTCACGCCTTCGCATAAGGCTGTGAATTAAGATCATTCTATTTCATTAACAACCCTTTAAAGGTATAATTCATCCCCAAAGTGAAGGATCAAATAACATCAAATAACAAAATGGAGGACAACTACAGAATGGAATCAAAGCACAGGTAAGTTGACAGGGTGCCTCAGAATCACACAGTAGCAATAGAAGTACTTACTTCTCTAGTGTTAGAGTGAGACTGAGGTATGATGGAACAAAAATCATTTTCTTATTGGTAAGTATTCCATTCATCAGACTTCTGACAACTTCATCCGTCTCTAATACAGACCATAATCTGTGATTCAAACAGGTAAACAAACAAAATGCTTGATTGTCATTGCTTGTTGTTTGATTTAACAAAGCTAAAAAGACTAATGTTTGTTTTTTTTAACCAAATTCAGAATTAAGATTTTGCTCTAGGGTTCACTTTATAAATGCTACCAGCCCAACAAACACACACATGCAATACTGATGTTTGATTATCATATACTTTCACATCCAGTTTGAATATCAAAGCGACAGAAAGGAATGAAATGATTGGGGAGTGTGGGAACCAAACAGGAAAGAGGAGTTGGTAGGGTTAACCAGGGGCTTGGAAAAAAAATATCTGGCATCTATCAGGGTCAGTTGAATGCAAGGAGAGAATTATATAGCCAATAATTATACTTCCTTTTCTCTGGAGGTGCCACATAAGGCTGTGTTATGAAGTCCGTGGGTACCTGAGATTCACCTCTAACTTGAGCATCCTGCAGTTTACTGGATGTCCAAGAGGTACATAGGTAGTGTTCAATCACAACTGGAGGAGTGGCTTCTATGATACTAAAGAGTGTGTACACAGTTGTTGAGAAGCACACATCCTCTCAAGCCCGGTGTAGAAGGCCACTGTGTAGAATGTAGATGATGACAGTGAAGACGTAAATGGATTAAAATGTTCCACAGATGTTTGTGGTTAGTTGTTAGTTTCCAGCAAGTGAGTTCCAACTCATATCATCTTGCTGTACAGTAGAATTAAACATTGTCCTAATGATTCCTATGTTGGAGCCCGTTGTTGCCGCCATTGGGTCAGTCTCATTGAAGGTCCTCTTCTCTTTCAGCTGCCTTCTACTGTACCAAGAACAGGGTCCTTTTCCAGAGACTAGCCCTCAAGGCAACTGAGATGAAGTCTCACTGCTCTTGCTTCCAGGGAGCATTCTGACTGCACTTCATCCTATACAGATGTGTTCATTCTGCTGACAATCCATGGTGCATTCAAGATTCTTCACCAAAACTGTTATTCAAAGGAATCTATTAACCTTCAGTCCTACTTACATTGTCCAGATTTTACATGCACCTGAGGTGATTAAACATTCTGTGGTTTGGGTCTGCTGTATCTTAGTCTTCAAATCCTTGCCTTTTTAAAAAAACAAACAAACACTTTAAAGGTACCTTTTACAACAGATCTAACCAATGCAGCACATGTTTGGTTTCCTGACCACTCTGAAATGGGCATTGAGACTAGTTCCAAGTAAAACGAAATTTTTGACAACTCCAGACTTTATTGCTATGTTGCTCATTGGTACAGTTGTGAAAATTTTCATTATTTTTATATTGCACTGTAACCTGTACTAAAGGCTATAGTCTTTCGTCTTCACCAGTTAATGTATCAAGTTCTCTTCTCGTTCAGCAAGCCATCTTGTGTGTCATCTTCATACTGCGAGTATTCACATGTCCTGCTCCAGTCTCGATGCCACATTCTTCTCCTCTAGTCCAATTCCTCAGATCATCTGCTCGGCATATAGATTGAGTAAATATGGTAAAAGGATACTCACACCTTTCCTTATATTAAGCCACGCAGTACTCCTGTATTCTATTTGCATGACTGTTGGTCCATGTAAAGACTATAGATGAGCATAATCAAGTGTTGTGCAGTTCCCAATCATTTTTAAATTAAAACATTTCATTATGATTTTGGTGGAGGTTTACATTTTAGATCATCGATTTTGTATTCAGCAACTTACACTATTTATCAACTCCCCCAATAGCTTATCCTCCCCTTCCTGCCGGCCCCCACCCCACCATTGATATCTCTTCTTCATGTGGAACACAATCTCCCCTTTCCCTCAAGCTCACATCAGCCTGCCTTCTATGTGACTGCTTCATCTTCTTCCCTCTACACCCCACCCCCAACATGGTAACCATCACAGTCTGTTTCCTTTCAGACGAAAACCTTTGCTTAGATTTTTTGTCTTTACAACAGTGGACACGTACAATATTTTTCCTTTTGTGATTGATGGATTAATTTCACTCAGCATATTATTCTCCAGGTCTATCCATGCTATGAGGTGCTTCATAGTATCATCATGATTTTTAAAAGATGCATAGTATTCCATTGTGTGTATGGACTGAGGGGCATGTAGGTTGTTTCCATCTTTTTGCTAACAAGGATGTGATGAACGTTTGTGTGCACATGTCTGCCTGTGTCTGGCTCCTCCTTCTTTGGGACATGTGGAATTTCTATTCCCCATTGTTTGAGGAAATTTACCTTCCCATGGTGCTTGTACAGGTTTACCATCCCATTCGCAGTGTATGAGAGTTCCAGTCTCTCTGCATCCTCTCCAGCATTTGTTAGTTTCTGTGTTTTTAATTTTTATTTTGCTGTCAGTGTTGGTGGAAGATGGTACCTTATTTTTGTTTTTGATTTGCATTGCTCAGATGTCTAGTTATTGTGAGCATGGCTTCCCCCTGGATGTTTTCTGTGGTCAGCTGTCTGTTTATGTCCTTTTCCCATTTTTAAGTAATTATTTAAGTGGATCTTTTTTCTTATTGATGTGTTGCAGCTTTCAATAGATTTTAGAGATTAGTCCCTTGTCTGATGTGTGTTTGCCAAAAATATTTTCTCACTCTGTAGCTTTTCTTCTTACTCTTTTGATGAAGACTTTCAATGCACACGAGTGTCTTATTTAAATAGTCCCTGTTAGTAGTCCCTGTTATCTAGTCTGCCCTTTAACTGTATGAGTTTTTTTCCAATTGTGTTTGATAGAGTGTTTATGTCCTATACTAGGGTCCTTAGATTTGCCTCTTTTTCTCATGGATATTCTTTATAGCTTTTTTCCCCTTAACATTTAGGTCTTAATCTCCTTGAGTTTATTTTTGCATATAGGTCTGTTTCATTCTTCTGAAGATGGACATACAATTTTGTCAGCTCCATTTGTTGAAGGACTAGCTCTTCCCCATTTAATATTTTTCACTCATCCCTTTGTTGAAGATCAGTTGTCTGGAGGTAGATGGATTTGTTCCTGGGTTCTCTATCCTATTCCATGTGTCTACATAGCTGTCATTGTACCAGAACCAGGCTGTTTTGGCTACTGTGGCTGTACGACAGGCTTTGAC